GCAGCAGGTATATCTTGTCTGGTTAAATACTAAGGATATTTTGTTTCATCTCTTACAGATATCCACACCAACCAACTAGATCCACCCCAACCAATTATATCCACCCCAACCAACTATATCAACACCAACCAACTATATCCACCCCAACCAACTGTATCCACCCAAACCAACTATATCCACCCCAACCAACTATATCCACCCCAACCAACTATATCCACCCCAACCAACTATACCCACCCCAACCAATTATATCCACCTCTCATAATGCTATCCATTTCAGTCATACCTATTCTTCCTAATCATATCCATCTCCCAGATGTATCAAACCTTCTAAACTCCCAACTGTCTCTCCTTCCCAACTATAAATTTATCTCACGAATTATCCATCCCTCCTAAATTTATTCATCCTTCTAACGTTATCCATTTATCCAATCTTTATCCATTCCCTCCAACTTTATCTAGCTATCCCTCCCAAATTTATCCATCCCTCTAACTTTATCCATTCCTCCAAACTTTACCCATTCTGCCTGAATTTATCCTTTATTCCAAACTAAAATCATCACTCCCAAGTGTATCCATTCCACCGAAATTTAACTATTAACCATTCCGCCCCAATTTTATTCATCCCTAAAATAACATTAATCTTCTAAGGGAGCAAAACTTATTCTATGAATTTTAATATAAATTTCATTCTTTTTTGTATTTTTTAGAGATTATAAAATTGAGGATTAACATATATTGTATCCTCAGATATAATATAATATATAATATTGACATCATTTTGGCCAAATAAATTTCAAAAGTTTTTTATGACAAAGGAAATGAGTCTTTGTCTTAAGCTCAAATTTTTTAATCCCTATATCTTAGCAGCTAGATGGTGTAACCTTTGATATTTCAAACTTTAATTATTTGATCTACCAGAATTCATAGTTTGAAATATCTAAGGTCTAGGACATTGGGCTACAAAGATATGGGGATTAGATAATCTGAGTTTGTGTCTGAGACTCAATTCCTTTATGCCTAGTACGATGATCCAGTAAGCCTACATTTGTGCAGAAAACACGCTGGGTAGACTATAAACTTAGTAGACTTGACCCGCCGGTACGAGGGATCGAATATACAATTACCGCCGGTACGAGGGATCGTATATACAATTACCGCCGGTACGAGGGATCGTATATACAATTACCGCCTGTACGAGGGATCGTATATACAATTACCGCCGGTACGAGGGATTGCGTATAAGAGTATATACAATTACATAAAACCGGATTGGACCAGAGAGACCTAATCATTCTAATTAATTGACGCGTACGGATAGACTTTAAACAGGGATTTGTCCGAACCTAACAAAAATCAGTTTAATCTAGCGTACAGGGTTATCCAAACCAGTTGTATTTAGCCTAAAGTGCTATCCAAACCGATTGTATCTAGCTTACAGGGATATCCAAATCAGTTTAANCCTCCCAACTGTATCTCTCCCTCCCTCATCAGTTATTCGTAAAATGTAATTTGTATACACTGCCTTAATTATTTATCCATTAGAGTATTCTTGAAGATCACTTTCATTCAAACAATTTAACAAATCCTTTATTCAATATTTCAAACTTAAAAAATGAAAGAAATCTAGAATAATTTATGTTTTCTTGGTTATTACTTATATACCCCCGAGAACAGTTAAAGAATTTATGTCGCTTAAGGTTTTTAGTCACTTAATAACTTAGCTCGGTCGTTAGAGGAATAATTCTGTACAAGTAATTATCAAGTATAATGTACAAAATCAAAATGTTAATTTATAAAACTAAATTAATGTATTTTCCTCTTTACAAGTTAATTTGTTGCAGTTTTCTGGTCTGTTAATGCAATTTTTTCAATCGTGAAATTTACATATTTTGTTTGTCTTAAAATATTTTTAATTAATATCGAGTTGTCTGTTCATTCCCTTATTTGGAATGAGATGTCCTCGTTCTAAAATTATTAAAAATTTTATTTTCTAAAATATAGAATATAGAGTGGCCGGATTAAATATTTATAAGTTAAGACTGCACAATTTTGTTTCGCTCCAATAGTATAAAAGTAATCCTAATCCTTTGAGTTCAGCTCCTAAAAGGGGATTTTCATTATCAGCTTTCATATAGTCTAAAATAGGAAATCTTACTATATACTTACTGTTTATACACTGTACTGAACAGTGTATAGATCTTAATATTTTTATATTATATTTAATATTATTTATTTACTGCATAGCTATGTTTATTTTTAGGTACATATCAATAAACCTAAACATAATTTAGCTTTGAATTTAAAAAAAAAGGTTCTTAATCCTTTTCCATATCTATATATCTCTCCAGGTTAATGCTTATCAATATCTCTCCACGTTCCAGTACATCTCCAAGTTCTTTAATCCTCATTCATACCTACCTGTCCTATCTTTACAGGTTTATTAAAGGGACTGTAAGCGTAAATTCAAGTTACATTTCATTTTAAGAGGGGCATCCACGATTCACAACGGTACCCCTTAAACCTTTGACTGATTATCGAGAACAGAGTAGATGTATATATATCTCTTAAATGCTCTGTAAAAAGTCGTAAAAATGAAGTGTACAGTAACGTATTATTTGAACTTTACACGGATGACGTCATATTTATTTCTGGGAAATCTAGAACAATATATATCCAACGCGATTTTTAAAAATTCGAATGTGAAAATTTATATTTTGCCACTTCTAGAAAGTTAATATTAATATCCCTTAAATATAGAACAGCTTGCACACGGTGTTTAACAAAACCAAGCGTTTCTTTAGATAAATCAGGTAAAGTCGGTTATCCTAGATCAGTCCAAGGTATATAAAGTGAAACGGAGATTCCCCACTTTTAAGGGAGCGTTCGCGAAAAATATAAGGGGGTATAGGCATACGGCGAAAAATAAGCGCTTCTGATCGCTACTAATCTTACTTCTATCTGATGTTGCGTCTAAAAGGAGTAAATTGTTAAAAACGACTCATGCTAAAGAACGTAGCGTTCATACAAATTCGGAAAGTTGCAACATTCAACTAGGATCGTAAAATAATCAATTTAATTCCAAACAAATCATTCAGATATTTATTACAAAAATTAGTCATCGATTTTTTTTTCGGCGCATTCGTATAAAGGCAATATTTCATAATATTTTTTGATTTATTTTAAAAATAATATTTCGCTGCCACTGGATTTTCGAACATTCCTGGAAAATATGGAAATGTCGTCTTCATTATAAAAAAATCCTCGAAACAGGAATAATTATAAAAATCATAAAAAAAAAATTATGAAATGTCAACTATATACGAATGCGTCAAAAAATTATCGATGATTATTGGTTGTAATATCTGAATGATTTGTTTGGATTTAAATTAATTTTTTTACGATCCGAGTTGAATGTTGCAACTTTCTGAATTTGTATGAACGCTACGTTCTTTAGCATGAGTCGTTTTTAACAATTTACTCCTTTTAGACGCAACAGATAGAAGTAAGATTAGAAGCGATCAAAAGCGCTTATTTTTCGTCGTAAGCCTATACCCCCTTATATTTTTCCCGGACACTCCCTTAAAAGGAAAAGTTACTTAAATTTCGCTTACAATCTCTTTTATTATTTTTCCCATATTGTAACGATACTGGACATTAAACCGGAAAAGCTAGAACTGTTTATGAATTTAGAACACAGACAAGTCCAAGACCTGTGAACTTTCAGGAAACATGAGAAAAAGTGAAAATTTGATGGAAAATTGTTCTATTGATTTGGCCCTCTTCATGAAAACTTCTCTTCTCAAATATTCTATCAATTAAATGTGTGAAATCTTCTGTAGAATAAAACAAGACATTCGTATATATGTTCGACATGGCCGGCCAAACGCTGGACCGAATGGGCGGACATTTTTTGGACACTCATGGTTTTTTTTCAAAATTTGTTTTTTCACGGGTAACGCAGGGCATTTCAGCTACTATTCTTTATATAATATAAACTATCTATGAACTTTTCATCTGTAAAAATGTGGACAATATCAAAACGTTTTTCTGTCTCCAAATCTTTTTATAATAGCAATAATAATTTTAATGATAAAACAGTTAATGTAAAGGCAAAGCATAAACTCTCGAGATTTCAAAAATTTTAAAAATTTATATCTCAAGTTATAGACAACTAGAACATTTCCCTTAAACAATAACCCCCCCGCCTCTTTCCTTCCTTTTATTTTGTCCTCCCCCCCCTCCCACCTCCTTTAATTCGTTGGTTAATGATGAGATTTAATTAAATACGAGCACTATTGGTTCAAGTTGGAGAGAAGTATCCTTCAATTAATAGATCATTTTCACACAACCCACAATATCGTAATTTCACACATTCCTATAATATTGTATTTTCACACACCTCACAATAATGTATTCTCACACAACCCTACAATATTGTATTTTCACACAACCCTACAATATTGTATTTTCACTCAACTCTACAAAACTGTATTTTAAACAACACTTCAATATTGTATTTTCACACAACCCTACAATATTGTATTTTCACTCAACTCTACAAAATTGTATTTTGAACAACACTTCAATATTGTATTTTAAAACAACCCTACAATATTGTATTTTCACACAACCCTACAATATTGTATTTTCACTCAACTCTACAAAATTTTATTTTAAACAACACTTCAATATTGTATTTTCACACAACCCTACAATATTGTATTTCACTCAACTCAACATACAATATTGTATTTTCAAACAACACTTCAATATTGTATTTTCACACAACCCTACAATATTGTATTTCACTCAACTCAACATACAATATTGTATTTTCAAACAACCTTACAATATTGTATTTCACTCAACTCAACATACAATATTGTATTTTCACACAACCATACAAAATTGTATTTCACTCAACTCTACATTATTGTATTTTCACACAACAACATTGTGGGTGTACATATATGTCAACCTGCAATTTTCTAAAATACTATACAATGCTACAATATATTCGATAATGAAATGATTAATGAAAATTTATTTACAGCTAGGGATCAAATTAATGCTATTCATAGTTTCCATCCATGAAGGCTGCCGAATGCCAATAGTCGTATGAGGATGAATCCAAAACCAGCAGTCGGAAAGGATCCTAAAAACATGAAACGGGTTTTCTTTATTCTTTTTTTTTAAATATTTGTTCTTTACAAAGGCATCTTATATCCAGGTCAAGGAAATAATAAAGATTGCAAATAAACTAATTGCTCCCGGGAGAAAATTAGAAAACTAATATATTTTAATTTACCTATAATAAAGGTAAAAGTAAACTGTAAACATAATGACGTCATTTATAATTAAATTAAGTTTCTCTTCTACCATAAATATTACATTTTCTGCAGCCTTCCTCACCCTTTCATTCCTGTCCCATCATCCTTTAATTCCTGTCCCTCATCCTTTAATTCCCGCCCCTCATCTATTAATTCCTGTCCCTCATCCTTTAATTCCTGCCCCTCATCTATTAATTCCTGTCCCTCATCTATTAATTCCTGTCCCATCATCCTTTAATTCCTTTCCCCTCATTCCTGCCCCTCATCTATTAATTCCTGCCCCTCATCTTTTTATTCCTGTCCCTCATCTATTTATTCCTGTCCCATCATCCTTAAATTCCTTTCCCCTCATTCCTGCCCCTCATCTATTCATTCCTGTCCCATCATCCTTTTAGTCCTGCCCCACCATACTTTAATTCCTGCCTCTAACCTATTCATTCCTGTCCCTTACACCTTTGATTCATGTCCCATTATTGTTTTTTCCTCCTCCTTATCTATTTATTCCTGGCACTTCATCCTTCCATTCATGACCCTATATCCGAATGTTTGTCTTACCTTAACCTTTTACTTCTGCCCCCTCTCTGATTTACATATTGGTTTTCATGTATCTTTACTCTTGTTATTCACCCTTTTACTGTCATCTTATCACACCTTCCTGTCTCCTCATCCCTTGCTACCTGTCTCCATTTAATTCCTCTTTCCTGTCCTCTCCTTCCTTCCTTTTTATTTCCTAGTTCCTGTCTCCTCACCGCCTTCTTCCTGTCCTCTTATTCCCTCCTTCCTGCCTTCTTATTTCCTAGTTCCTGTCTCCTCACAGCCTTCTTCCTGTCTCCTCATCACCTCCTTTCTGCCTTCACATTCTGTCCTTCCTGTCTTCTCATCCCCTCTTTCCTGTCTCCTCATCCCCTCTTTCCTGTCTCCTCATCACTTCCTTTCTGCCTTCTCACCCCCTTTTTCCTGTCTCCTCGTCCCCTCTTTCCTGTCTCCTCATCACTTCCTTTCTGCCTTCTCATTCCGTCCTTCCTGTCTTCTCATCCCCTCTTTCCTGTCTCCTCATCACTTCCTTTCTGCCTTCTCATTCCGTCCTCCCTGTCTCCTCATCCCTTCTTTCTTGCCTCTTCAGGTGTTAGGTACTTTCCCAAAGGCATTTTCCCAAGGGCGACTGCCCAAGTGACAATTTCCAAAGTGGCAACTTCCCAAATATATATTTTCTCAAGTGACAACTTCCCAAAGGTTAGGTTAGGCCTTCTGAGGCGCCACAGGCTGCCAAGGGACTGAGCGCTGCGGATAGGATTGGCTAGGGGGCCGAGCGCTGCGGCCAGCACCGACTTGGGAAGTTTCCGCTTAGGAAATTGCACATTTGGAAAGTTGTCACCTAGGAAATTACCCTTGGGATGTTGCCGCTTGAGAAAAAGTCTTTGGGAAAGTACATATTATCTCTCCCCATCACCTTCTCTCTGCCTTCTCAGTCCGTCCTTCCTGTCTCCTCATCCCCTTTTTCCTGTCTCCGCATCCCCTCTTTCCTGTTTCCTCATCACTTCCTTTCTGTTCTGCCTTCTCATTCAGTCCTTCCTATCTCCTCATCCCCTCTTTACTGCCTCCTCATCCCCTCTTTTCTGTCTCCTCATCACCTCTTTCCTGTCTCCTCATCCTATCCCTATATACTCCTTCCTGTTTCCTCATCACCTCTTTCCTGTCTCCTCAAACTCATTTTTTTGTTTCATCATTTAATACTTTCTGTCCACTCCTTCACTTATTCCTACTCCTTGTATCCTCTTCCGTTCTTCCTGTATCATCCATTTTTTCCTGTCTCCTTATCCCTCTTTCCTGAATCCACTTCCGCTCTTTCCTGCCTCCACTTCCGCTCTTCCTATTTCTTCATTCACTTCTTTCAGACATTGTTCCCATTCCCTATCTTCTGATCCTGCTCTGTACTAGTATAATTGGTAAAAACGGATCGAAATAAATATCCAATATTTACATTAAAGAGTATAATATACATATATTTAGCTCTGCTGACATATTTAAGGCTTCACGTGATCGATAAATTAAACTTTTACAGTTTGAAAAAAAAACATTTGAGAGTTTTGTAACAATTATATATATTAATGTTCAGAGTAAATTTTGTTTTCAGACAGAAAATCTCCTTTTTTAAAGAAACATTGCATAATTAAGTATTGTACAAACCCCTATTTTGTTTATAGATGTAATATGTAATATGTATATCTATTTCTGATTATACAATATACCAAACGTGGTTTAGAAAAAGCGAGAAAACAGAATTAAAAGTTTAGTAATGAAATCCTTGTACATACAATATTTTCTCGCATTTTTAAAACCAAGAAGAAAATAAAATATCACTAGTGTGGTTTGAGGGTTTGAGGGTAGAAGGGGAGGGGTTACTGAGGAAATATCAAATGCACCCACTTGTTCCTGAGAAAAGAGGGTACACATGAATTTTTACCCCTCTCTCTCCTGGTTCTTGTATTCTCCGGATAGTTTTATCTTCTGAGAAGTGCAGGATCATCAGTTCGTGGATATAATCAATACATTCATTAAACCCCTATTCATCAACGTTAGAGCTCAATAAACCCCGACTCAGTAATCCCCGGCCAGAAAAAAATCCGGGTTCTTCTGATTATGAAAATATATATCACAAAATACGCCCCCCCCCCGTTGCAGTACATCCCTGAGAACATGAGATGTTTTCAGGGATTTAAAGAGAAAAATCGATGGTGAGAAAGGTTTGGTAGTTGCCCAGATGTAGAATTGGGTATGTATGTATTGTAGTTCGCCAGCTGCTATATATCGATCCTTTCTCTTACTTCGGGGTTGGCTGGGTTCCTCTCTCTCTTTCTCTCTCCATCCCTGGGGAATTTCTGAGGGATTAGACGCTGTTGAGGAGAAGGGAAGGAAACCTGGTGAAGATGAGGATAAGGTCGGTGTCTGGGCCTTACCAGTCCTCCGTCCAGTTCATTATAACCGGGCTGAAGGGTGGCAAGGTCCAGCCAACGACAATTTAAATCTTCTTTTCAACCAAACCCTGAAATACGTAAATAAAAGGGTGGAGGGAATGGGGCAGGGTTACCACTAACCTTTACGTCCCAGTCGGATGATTCTACGGAGTAAGAAGAGAACTGTACCCGGAGAAGAACAAACCGCATGGTTGAGAACCGTCGTGGACGGGAGCACGGATACAACTGTGACCTCTTCTCCCGGATAGAGAAGGATGAGTGGGATTGGAAAGGCTGTGATGTTGGCCTCCAGTGTATGGTTTGGAGGCTGGTTCCTCCTCTAGCATCTATCCGCCCCTTCTCCTTCTTCTCCTCCTCCTCCTCCCGCTTTCAATTTCTCAAATGGTTATCTTATATTTAGAACTATGGAGAATCCTTCTATTTCCTATCTATACACACCCGGACCAAACTATAAATCTAAATCTCCGGAATTTTCTCCGTCTTGAAAGAACCTCCCTTTATCCTAACCACAAACTATTTCCAACCTAATTTACGTTTACTACTCTCAAGCCGTTCCATCTTCTTTCCATATACTATATTATCCCATCCTATTCCTATTCATATACTATATTATCCCCACCTTCTCCTATCTACAATCTTTATATTTTATTATCCCTACCTTCTCCTTTCCATATACTGTATTATATCCACCTCTCCTATCCATATACTGTAAACCCCCACCTTCTCCTATCCATATACTGTATTTTTCCAATCTTCTCCTATCCATAAACTATATTATCCCTACCTAGTCCTATCCATATACTGTATTATATCCACCCTCTCCTATCCATATACTGTAAACCCCCACCTTCACATATCCATATACTGTATTATTCCAATCTTCTCCTATCCATAAACTATATTATCCCGACCTTCTCCTATCCATATACTGTATTATCCCCACCTTCTCCTATCCATAAACTATATTATCCCCACCTTCTCCTATCCATATACTATATTATCCCACCTTCTCCTATCCATATACTGTATTATCCCCACCTTCTCCTATCCATATACTGTATTATCCCCACCTTCTCCTATCCATATACTATATTAACCCACCTACTCCTATCCATAAACTATATTATTCCCACATTCTCCTATCCATATTCAGTATTATCGCCATTTTTTTTATCCATTTACTATATTATCCAAACCTTCTCTTATATGATCATATCAAGGTTATGTAATGATGTTGGTTACTCTCGATGCCAGCCAATGTACGGAAAATGGCGTCTTCCAAGATAAATAGATAAAAGACCTCATATGACGTCAATCTCGCCACTATAATTAGTGACGTCATATTATGTTTATATCTATCTATCTTAGGAGACGACATTTTCCGTACATTGGAGCGCATCGAGAGTAGTACCAACCTTAGAATACAACCTTGATCCATACACTGTATGTCCCCACCTTATATTTAGATACATATCAGTGACTGTTGAATAGGATACAGAGATGTACAGAGATGTTTAGATAAATCAGAAGCTGTTGAATAGGATACAGAGATGTTTATATACATCAATAGCTGTTGAATAGGATACAGAGATGTTTAGATATATCAGTAGCTGTTGAATAAGATACAGAGATGTTTAGATACATCAGTAGCTGTTGAATAGGATAAAGAGATGTTTAGATATATCAGTAGCTGTTGAATAGGATACAGAGATGTTTAGAACCATCAGAAGCTGTTGAATGGGATACAGAGAGGTTTATATACATCAGTAGCTGTTGAAAAGGATACAGAGATGTTTAGATACATTTGTAGCTGTTGAATGGGATACAGAGAGGTTTAGATACATCAGTAGCTGTTGAATAGGATACAGAGATGTTTAGATACATCAGTAGCTGTTGAATAGGATACAGAGATGTTTAGATACATCAGAAACTGTTGAATAGGATACAGAGATGTTTAGATACATCAGAAGCTGTTGAATAGGATACAGAGATGTTTAGATACATCAGTAGCTGTTGAATAGGATACAGAGATGTTTAGATATATCAGTAGCTGTTGAATAGGATACAGAGATGTTTAGATACATCAGAAGCTGTTGAATAGGATACAGAGATGTTTAGATATATCAGTAGCTGTTGAATAGGATACAGAGATGTTTAGATACATCAGAAGCTGTTGAATGGGATACAGAGAGGTTTATATACATCAGTAGCTGTTGAATAGGATACAGAGATGTTTAGATACATTTGTAGCTGTTGAATAGGATACAGAGAGGTTTAGATACATCAGTAGCTGTTGAATAGGATACAGCAATGTTTAGATATATCAGTAGCTGTTGAAAAGGATACAGAGATGTTTAGATTTATCAGTAGCTGTTGAATAAGATACTGAATGTAAGGCTGCATTGAAATTGTAAATTAAATTAGTCAAGTTTAACTTTTATTTTCAACTCAGCTCCTCTGAGCTGGAGTTAGAAACATTAACTCAAACTGTTCCTAATTAACAAACAAACACCTCTCAGACAGAGTAAAAACTCTTCTATTTTCTCCAAGCAAATTCTAGTAGAATTAAATTTTATGTAGAATATTATAAGACCTGATCTCTCTCCTCAAACTCAAAATTTCTCATCCTTAAATATTGTGTAAATTAGAAGGAAAATAATAAGGAGAGTTAAAAAAAGCGTGAAATGAAAGGAGAAGAAGAAGAAGACAACGCAGTGGAAGAATACTTCAAATGGAAAGAGATGAAGAATACAAAGAAGTGGAAGAATACTTCAAATGGAATGAGAAGAAGAAGAAGATAAAGAAGTGGAAGAAAACTTGAAATGGAATAAGAAGAAGAAGATAAAGAAGCAGAAGAATACTTCAAATGGAATAAGAAGAAGAAGAAGATAAAGAAGTAGAAGAATACTTGAAATGGAAAGAGAAATGTTTCCTTGCTCAACATCAAATTGAATTCGAAACTTAAATAGAAATACTGATTGGGGTAAATTCAAGTATAGATAGATAGATAGATAGATAGATACCCCAAATTATAGATACATAGAAAGAGAACACCTGAGAAAAAGATAGACCATCTAATAGATAGATAGACCACCTAATAGATAGATAGACCACCTAATAGATAGATAGACCATCTAATAGATAAACAGACCACCTAATAGATAGATAGACCACCTAATAGATAGACAGACCACCTAAAAGATAGATAGACCACATAATAGATAGCTAGACCATCTAATAGATAGACCATCTAATAGATAGACAGACCACCTAATAGATAGATAGACCATCTAATAGATAGATAGACCACTTAATAGATAGATAGACTACCTAATAGATAGACAGACCACCTAAATTATGGTTAGGCCCCAGAATAGATAGATAGACCATCTAATAGATAGATAGACCACCTAATAGATAGATAGGCCACCTAATACATAGATAGATAGGCCACCTAATACATAGATAGACCATCTAATAGACAGATAGAACATCTAAAATATAGATAGACCACCTAATAGATAGATAGACCATTTAATAGATAGATAGACCACCTAATAGATAGACAGACCATCTGATAGATAGATAGACCACCTAATAGATAGATAGACCACCTAATAGATAGATAGACCACCTAATAGATAGATAGACCACCTAATAGATAGATAGACCACCTAATGGAAAGATAGACCATCTAATAGATAGATACACCACCCAATGGAAAGATAGATAGAACATCTATAGTATAAATAGACCTAAATAATTGACATGAGATAAAGACCACCAGACCAACTAAAATATATAGACCACATCATGGTATATATGAATCACTTAAAATGTATATAAAGACCAAATACATGCATTTAACATCTAAGAGATATAAAAAAGTAAGTATAAACTTTGCTTGAATTTATTGGTTTAAAAAGAAAGATGAATGGTTCAAAATAATAAAATTTGAATATATTGTATCCCTGTCCTACCCCCCACCCCCAACCATTTTCCTCAACCCTGCAGGTCTTCAGGGTTTTGGTGGATTGAAAATGATTGAATATGCAAGAATAAAGGTATTGATAGACGGGTTCAATAGAGAGACATTCTAATTTCCTATACTTCATACAACCTGGAGCAGGTTTTAATTCAACCTTGCTCTTCTCTCTCAATTTATTTGATATATGTCACTTTTCCCATATATTCAGTTTTTTTCCCTTTCCACTTCTTTCTTGTTTATGCTTTTCCCATTTTTTTATTTCTTACCATGGTACTTTATTTAAATAAGACATATGCTTTCCATTACTGTCTGATGTACAAATACCGCGTACATGTTTGTATGAAAGTTTATTGTATACATTAAGCAGGGAAAAAAGTAGGCGGAATGACGCCAAATAAAAATATTTTTTTGGGTGCTACATTATTGGCAATACAATCGTACTTTTCTGGAAAATTAAAAAACTCGTTTTCAAATAGAGTACCGTCTGCAAAGCATGTATAATCATATGGTAGGGCAAGCCGGGTCGATTCCTTCTCCCTTATATTCCATACTCCTTAGTTGTTAAGTATAAAACTAACTGCTTCCGAATGCACAAAGAAACTTTTCTGCACAGTGCACAGTATTTCAATATAATATTGATGATGCACAGTGCACAGTATTTCAATATAATATTGATGATGCACAGTGGATTCTATTCTTCAAGATTTAAGGTTGGCTCCAGAGCTTAAATATTTTAAAGTTTTTTTTATAAATACATGATTGTTCTACTAATGAACCTTCTCCTTAACTTTATAACCTCCTTGGACTTTTGGACCTCTAAGACTGTTGGAACCCCTTATGCTCTTGAGACATACTCCGAAAACCCTTGATACTCCAGGAGCCCTTGATACTCTAGGAACCCTTGGTACTCCAGGAACCCTTGATACTCCGGGAACCCTTGATACTCCAAGAACCCTTGGTACTCCGGGAACCCTTGATACTCCAAGAACCCTTGATACTCCAGGAACCTTTGATACTCCAGGAACCCTTGGTACTCCAGGTCTCTCCTACTTCTATCTTGAATTTAAATGTTTGAATGAGAGTAAAGTGTATGGAAGAGGATTGGATGGATTACAGTATCCCTGTGGTACAGATGGGTCCTGTATAAGATACAATCCATCCTTCTCCAGCTACAATGCTAAACTTGTCTTATATAAACTCTCCAGAGGTTTATATTAATTATACTGGCATTAGTCCTAATATGCATATAAATAGACATATTTCCAGTTCTTCCAGTTCTTTATTCTTTCTTACTCCTAGTTCGTTATAGCTTTAGACAAGGCATTTGGAATATATTGGGTTTTAAAAGATTGGCATTTATTTATATATAGAAACTTCTTGATATTTCTAAATGTGAGATTAAACCTTAAAGATTATTACTCGAAGCTCAAAGTAAAAGCTTCCAAGAATCTAAAAAAAGTTAAGAAAATAATCCTTTCTCAAAACAAAAAGTTAACTAAAGAAGTTTAAATATAAGATGAAAATATTATTTAAAACATTTTGTGTAAAGTTTGGGGAGTAGGACGGGTTGAGGGTAGGAGCCTGTCCCAGGATATAAATATTTTATAAACCAACCGAACTCAGAATCCACAGTTCACAACATTTACTATTCACTTTAGTCATAGATCACACAGATCTTCAGTATTCAGCTTAGTCATAGATCACACAGATCTTCAGTATTCACTTTAGTCACAGATCACACAGATCTTCAGTATTAAGCTAAATCATAGATCACACAGATCTTCAGTATTCAGCTTAGTCATAGATCACACAGATCTTCAGTATTTAGTTTAGTCATAGATCACACAGATCTTCAGTATTCAGTTTAGCCACAGATAACACAGATCTTCAGTATTCAGCTTAGTCACAGATCACACAGATCTTCAGTATTCACTTTAGTCACAGATCACACAGATCTTCAGTATTCAGTTTAGTCACAGATCACACAGATCTTCAGTATTCAGTTTAGCCACA